GAGTAGGCAGTGTTTGCTGTTCTTTCTAGTACTTGTTCCTCGGGGAGGGGGGGGGGGGGAAAAAATGTCCCTTCTTGGAAATTTTTTAAATAAATAGCCAAGCAAGAAGTGGTTTTTCCTAGGATCCAGAAGACTGCTAGATGTTGTAAGATTAAAAATAAGCCAATAAGTAAACAAAAAACAAAGGCTTGGGGGCAGAAAATTAAGTTTTTGAAGAATTTACTGTCTCTGATAACATATATAGGATACAGGGGGGGGGGGGGGGGGTGAAAAAATGTCCCTTCTTGGAAATTTTTTAAATAAATAGCCAAGCAAGAAGTGGTTTTTCCTAGGATCCAGAAGACTGCTAGATGTTGTAAGATTAAAAATAAGCCAATAAGTAAACAAAAAACAAAGGCTTGGGGGCAGAAAATTAAGTTTTTGAAGAATTTACTGTCTCTGATAACATATATAGGATACAATGAAACAGATCATAAAGCAGAGCTAAAAGGTTGTGCATGAGATCATGGTATGGCCAGATTAAGGTGGAGGTGATGGGAATGGATAAGAAAGATATTATATGAGGGAAATTTAGAAGAAACACTAAATAGGATCTCAATATTAATCCAAATAAAGGCTAGTTGGAAGAATTTTGCATTGTGTTTTAGAATTAATCTAAGCCATTTATTTATTTTCCTTGAAAACAACCTTTTCCCAGGGGGATGACTTTGATTACATTCCTAATTCTAAAGGAGTATATATGGCTCTTTATTTGGCTCAGTTAGAACTAAACCAATATAGTCATAGTCGGCAAAATCAACCGTCCACAGCAAACATAATTATATATTTCAATAAACAAAAATAGTTCTCTGCAACCAACATCGTAATGAATGTACTTTAGGACAATGAATATTCTTCATCTTACAGTATTAAGTCACAAGTCCCTGAAACTAACAAAACCTTGAGGTATTACAGGAAAGCACTTAGTAATTGACTAAAACTCAAACTATAAATGACAAGATACAGAATAAGTTTAGATGTAACAAATTTTATGGTAAGTGGTATATAAATATTTTCTCATCCCCTCTCTTGAGCTGCAAAAAGACTGACTGTTAAAAACACTTACATCCTCTCATTTGTGCCCCTAATTGGAAACTGTGGCTTCTGGTTTCAATTCAATTTTTTTTTTTCCTTTTTTTTTTTTTTTCGTGACTGGTAATGGGATCGCAACCCTCGGTGTCGCGCCCGCACCGCGCTCAGCCAGTGAGCAGACCAGTCTGTATATGGGATCCGAACCCTTGGCGGGAGCGCCGCCCTCTACCAAATGCGCCACCGGGCTGGCCCTCAATTCAATTTTAATAAAGGTTGATTTAAAGATATGTGGGGACCATTTTTAATTCTGCACTGGATATAAGGTTTTTTAAGAGAAATGAGTCAAGGAAACTGGGAGTCTGGTATTCATTCAGTCATTAAGTAGTTGTTGAGCAACTACTAGGTGCCAAGCATTGTTCTAAGCACTGGGAATACAGAGGTGAGCAGAATGAGTTAAAAATCTCTGCCTTCTGGAGTTTACATTCTAGTAGAGGGGAGGGGAGACTGATGATAAAATAAATGATTAAATAAGTAAAAATTAGAAGACGTAGGTATGCGTGTCATGGAAGAAATAAAGCAGGGAAGGGAGACAGTGAGCGCCAGGGGTGAGGATAGGAGATTGCAGTTGTAAACAGGATGATCAGGTGAGCCTCTCTGAGAAGGTGCTACTTAAGCAAAGACATGAAGGAGGCGAGAGAGCAAGGATGTTGATTCTTTCTCAAATATCAGCAGGTGAAAGGCTTTTCGGGTAGAGGAAACAGCAAGTGCAAAAGGACCTGAAGCAGGGACTCGTCTCGCATGCTCTAGAATTGTGCTGTCAAGAGTTGCCATTAGCCACATGTGACTATTCAAATTTAAATTGAACTTAAATGAATTAAAAATTCAGTTCCCCAATGTCCATTGACGGATGACTGGGTAAGAAAAATGTGGTATATACACACCATGGAATACTATTCTGCCATAAAAAAGAATGAAATTCTGCCATTCACAGCAACATTGATGAACTTGAAAAAATTTATGTTGAGGGAAATAAGCCAGACACAGGGGGGAAAATATCATGTCTTCACTCATAAGTGGGAGCTAAGAGAGAAGGAAGAAAGGAAAGAAAGACCACAGTGGTGTGTTGGACTTGCAGAGGGAGAGAGCGTACCTAGGGTTGTGGAGTGGGGTCAGGGAGGGGACGGGGGAGGGAGATCGGGGATAATCGGGTGGGGGACATGAAGAATAATTGCAATTTGTGGTAATAGGCATACTGACAGCACTAATCTGGCCATCACACCTTGGACACAAGTGGTGACAGTCAGCTTTGTACCCCATGAATATGCATAACCAATAAAATTAATAATTTAATTTAAAAACAATAAAACAAAATTCAGTTCCTTAGTGTGCACTTGCCATATTTCCAGTGCCCAATAACCAGCACATCGGACAGGGCAGATTCAGAATATGTTCAACATCACAGAAAGTTCTATTGGACAGTGCTGTTCTAGAAAGAGCAAGAAGGCCAGTATTGCCAGAATGGATTAAGCAAGCTGGAGACTAATGGATGAGGCAGAGAGGTTAAGGGATTCAATTGGGTAGGCATTTGAAGGACATTGTAGGAACTCTGACTTTTATTCTGAGTGAAATAGGAAATTTGGAGGGTTTTTCCAGAGGAGTAACCTGATCTGATCTGATATTTAGAAGAATCACTCTGAGTTATTATTTTTGTAATAATCCAGGTGAAAGATGATCAAAAGAGGACAAGGGTGGTAGCAGTGTAGGTGGTGAAAAGCATCCAGACTCTATATGAATTTTGAGGTTGGAACCAACAGATTACACTGGTGAAAGGGATGTGGAATATGTCATGGTAAAGATAATTGTCAGGAGGTCTTTGGTCGGAGTGTGGGAGAGGCTAAATTTGGTTTTAGAGTGATTTGACTTTGAGATGACAATAGCACTCACTACAGAAAACGTTCAATGGGAATGGGAGAAGTGAGAGCTCAGATGAGAACAGGCCCTGGATACAGACAAGAGATTCATCAGCGTACACGTAAGAGATGAAGCAGGAGTAGAGGGTGAATGACGCCAGCATCAACATTCCAGTATGACCCAGATGCCAGAGAGCTCAAGAGAAATGATGGAGCCTGAGCATGCAGTCTCTGCCATACAGTGGAGAAGGAGGAAGCTGGATTGAAATGGTTTTCACAAGAACAGAGGAAGGGGATGTTACCATGAAAGGAGAATGTAATAACTGTGATATTTCTCAGCACTTATGGGGAGTTTCTCAATCACTTAATTGTTGCAGCCAAATGCTAGTGTCATTTGTATTAAACGTTGTGACAAACGATACACTTTTTAAAAATTCAGAGTTTAATTAGGTCACAGGGAAATAAAAATGGGTGAATACATATATTAGGACTTGTTATTCCCAACCCTATAAGACTAGGTAGCAAGTAGTTACTTTTAAACGTGGGGGAGAACCCAAGTCATTGATGATAAAGAGGTAATTTTTAATTTTCTTGAATCCTTGATGGAGAAGGAATGGTCAGTGCTGCTTCTTTAAAAGGGGGAAGAGAGAGTAAACAACTAAACACCAGGAAGGAGAGCTAAGGAGAAAGCTGTAGCTGTTCTTTGGGCTTCTCTTCCTCAGGAGCCCGGGTTAGAGGTTGAATGGGGAAGCCCAAGGGACTCATGACGGGTTGGATCTCAGAAATAGGCTGATCTAGACTAAAAATATTGGGATCTGAAAAGGAATTTTACATATCATGTAGTCCAATCTTTCCCATTTAACAGATGAGGTACTGAGACCCAGAGGGGTTAGGTAAATTGCCCCAGGTCATTCAGCTAGCTCTATGCAGAGCCAGACCGGGAACAGGGACTGGGGTAATTCCTAGTCCTAGTCCTATATCTCTCTGTCTCACCGCTCTATGTAAGAGTGAGAACCTCCTATTTAAGCCGGACAGACCAAAAGGAAAGCAAATTCAATTCTTGGAGTTGGGGGCCAGGGGAGAAAGGGGAGGAATTATGGGGAACCGGGGTGGGGATAGGGATTAATGAAATGACAGAATATTGGCTTCTTTTAAATGTCTTGGCAACAGGCCTTCTGAAATCTGCTTTGCTGTTGAAACTCCTTAATTGTCATTCTGACCAGCACTCAAATGAAACCCTCAACAGTAACAAGTGCCCGTTTCACTGACTTCTGGGTAATAACTCCCGGGTGCATGTTCATAAAAGTCCATTCTGGAGCCAGCCCGGTGGCGCACTGGAGAGTGCGCCGCTTGGGAGCGCGGTGGCGCTCCCGCCGAGGGTTCGGATCCCATGTGGAGACCGGTTCCGCTCACTGGTTGAGCGCGGTGCGGGGCGCAACACCGAGGGTTGCGATGCCGTTGCCGGTCCCCGGTACGGGCGCGACGCCGAGGGTTGCGATCCCGTTACCGTCAGTAAAAAAGACAAAAAGGAAAAAAAAAAGAAAAAGTCCATTCTGATACAACCCTGGGTATCGTCAGGGTGCCGAAAGGCAGGAGAAGTGTAGTAAAAAATAATTCTAGTGGGGAAGGGGGTGTGGGTTGCGCTGGCGGAGGGGAGGGAAGGCGAGTGGTAGGAAAGACCAGATTCGCGGCAGACTGCGAGGCTTTCCTGTTGCTAGGGCCGCCAGCGTCCTTGGTTACCGCTCTGGGGAAGGCGTCTCCCTTAGCTGCCACGGAGTCCTGTGCCCCGCAGGCCGCGCCACCGCTGCGCCGCGTGGCGCGGAGGGGGAAAAAGGGCACCAGCGGACACGTGCTCTTCTGTCCGGCCATCCTGGTGGGAGGCGGAGGTCTCCGTTAGGAGTCACAAGCGCGGGGGCTTTGCAAAGCGGCCACCCCGTCGTCACCCCCAAGAAGCCCTCACCGAGAGCTGTGCAGGGAATTAAGGGAGGGCAGCCCCGGGGGTCCCCCACCCTGACTCACGTTGTACTCCCTCAGCCAGGAGTCTAGATTTTCCTGCAACGATCGTAAAGATTCATTCGAGACCAGTCTCCTCAGGTTTTCCGCCATCGCTCGCTTTTCCGCTCGGCCCAGCTCCGGGAAACCGAGGCCTGGAGGGGACTAGGTGGTGACCTCCGCAGGACCGCGGGGTGATATGGCGGGAAGGATGGTTTCTTCCGGAGGGACTCAGCGTGCGGCTGGTCTTTCCATCCTCCCCCTCGGGTCGGACCGGGCAAGGTTCGGGAAGCCGGGGGGAGGCGCCCTGGGCCGCAGCCGCCGCACCTCATCCGCTGCCCCGCGCGATCTCCTGGTTCCCCCGCCGCCCTGGAGTCCCGGCCATAAATACCTGGGCGATTGTTAAACAAACCTTGACGTGGGCAGCCGGCTGCCAGGGACGCGCGCCGCCCGCATCCTGGCAACGCTCGCGCCGCCCCGCCCCCACCGCGCCCCCTCCTCCTCCGGCAGCTGCCGGGGACCGAGGCACCCGCCTACCTCCTGCTGCTGCTGCTGCTGCTGCTTCTGGACGAAGGCGAGTGCACCAAAGCCACTGAGACGCGGGCTGGAGGGCACCAAGACTCCGGACGGCCGTAGCGCGACCGCTTGTTGGGCCGAGTAGCGCCCCAAGGCGGGTTAGGGTGCGGCTGGAGGCCAAGAACGTTCCTCCCAACCCGGGGCTCTGGGTGACCTCGCATGCCTAGAAAAGCACAGGTTAACTCTCCATAGAAGTGTTTGGTTAGGCTTGCCGGAAATCACCTCTGATTCCTTCCTGTATTCTTTCACCCTCTCATGCCTTTAATTCTTCATTTGTAGCGCCTACGGTTTACCCGTACGAAACTTGCTGTTAACTGAAATTTCAATTCCTCTTATTTCTATCTTTTGCTTTGTTCCTTGGCTTAGCGGACGGGTGCCTAAGTCAATAGATTTTAGCTCCAGGACCTTCACAAATTAAAATTGATCCCTCAGATTAAGAATAAGAGTTAGTAATACATATTTCAGCATATTTTTTAAGAGTCATTGAGCTCTATAAAGCTCCATTTAATTCTGAATTCTCTAATTGAGACTTTGTGAAAGTTCAGACCCGGCTTGGCACCATTTTCAAAGTGAGTTCAGCCACAATGATAGTTTGAACTAAACAAAGGAAACCGTTTTAACCATCATTAAGCCCTTGAGAAGCAAGCCCTTGTTTCATATACCATCAAATGATGTTCTGATTGCAAATCATCCTTTTCTGTCCATTATAACAGTGGGCGTGGAGCGGGGCCTCAGCTAGCTAGCTCGCTTAACTCAGTTCTATTTCTTTAGGTACTTGAAAATATGTGGACATTGTATATATCCAAGTACCATAAATTCAGAATTTTCATCACCTCTTTTTTTTCTCTCTCTTAATTACTGTGGTTTTACTGTCCAGTAATGAAGACGAAAGCCTGACTTCTGGAGCATGTGTTTCTGCTATTTTTCTGTAGGCAACAAAATAAGGACTATAAGGGTACAAAAACATGTTATTTTATCATATTAGAATAATAGTTACTAAAGTTAAAAAAAAGTCCCCCCAAAACAACTATCCATTAGACATCTTCTTTTAAAATATACACTCATATATTAGGAAGAAGGAAGAGAATGGAGAAAAATCTCACAGATTTTTAATTTGGAGCCAAAAGTTGCATACTTCAATAGGCAATTGGAATCTTTAAACAATCCTATTTACTTATTAATAAAAAACAAATTGGAATATTTGTATATGTCAGACAAATTAGAGGTTAAATCCTTTTCCCTGCTGTGGGCACCTTTATTAGCATCTAATCCTTAGTTTCATCATTTCTAAAAGTACAATAATACTTACTTCATATGATTATTATGAGAACAAATAGGATAATTCATGTAAAGTACTTAGGACAGTGCTTGGCATATAATATAGTAAATGCTCAATAAATGCTAAGATCGCTATTATTAGAAATGTAGTTCACAGTATTACATTTAATAAAGAAAACTAGGCTAATAAAGAAAACAATCTAAATCTTTAACAATAAGGTAATGGTTTAGCAAATCATTCAATGAAATGTCACACAATAAAAATCGTGTTATTGAAGACTATCTAGCATCTAGAAATTCTTACTATATAATATTAAGTTAAAAAAGCAGGACCCTAAATTATATATACTCATATTGTGTTAAATTATATATAATAATGCCTTGTGAACCCTAGGTATGATTATGGGTGAGTTTGATTTGTTCTTTTATACCTTTCTAATGTTCAAAATTTCTACCATGGGGCCGGCCCGGTGGCGCACTGCTACAGTGGCGCACTGCTACAGTGGCGCACTGCTACAGTGCGCCACTCGGGAGCTCGGCGGCACTCCCGCCGAGGGTTCGGATCCCACATACAGACCGGTTCCCACTCACTGGCTGAGCGAGGGGTGGGCGCGGCACCGAGGGTTGCGATCCCGTTGCCGGTCCCGGTCCGGTACGGGCGCGACACTAAGGGTTGCGGTCCGTTGCCGGACACGAAAAAAGACAAAAAGGAAAAAAAAAAATTTCTACCATGGACATGAATTGCTTCTATGAAAACTTGTTCAGAAAAAAGTCATCAAAAACAATTACCCCAAAACTTTACCACCCTTGGAAAAATGTTAGCCAAAATACCAATATTTAAGCTGCTGACTCAAAACAAAATATGCTTTGACCAAATGTCCATAGTACTAATTTAATAATTAAACTTATAGAGTCCTAGGATAGAACGGATCTCTGAAATCACCTTAGAATATGCTACCTCATGTTATTTATCTCTACATATGCTCTAGTCCCATGACTAGATACAAAACCCTTAAGACTTGCAGTCAGTTCAGGTTTGTTTCCTTAGGACTCAGGAGCATGTGCTGTACAAATGTTATGTTAATTGAAAATAAAGAAGCATAGGCCTACAACTCAATGACTCAAAATAAAGGAAATGTTTTACACATTTATTCATTATTTACTCCCCCTACACACACACATACACACACACACATACATATACTCACATACACACACTTCCAAAAATGGATCTGTGATAGCTGACAGTGAGTCTTGTGGAAAATACCATTGTTAGATTAGAAATATTTTCTTAAAGGAAAATGCAAACATGCCCAATATTTATGCCTATGTACTAAGATTGAACCTCATTTTACATTTATTTCTGGGCTTTGTGGAAGCCAAGGCAAAAAGGATAATGAGTTTTATGATTATGATTATTTGATTTTTTAAAGTGTACATTCCAGCTCTCTGAATGAAAACACATTTTCCTGGTACCAATTCTAAAATATTTTTATCCTTTTCCAAAAAGTATGGAACAACATAGATGAAAGATATATTTAATAACCCTTTTTTAAAGAAAACATAGAAACAATCTTGATATGATTGTTTCTTGAAGTTACCTTTGATCAATGCCAAGGCAATAACACTAGAACACATATCATCAAAGAGTAGACCAAGCAATTGACGCCCCATTTCTTAGCTCACAATGTTACTTGATACAAGCTTAGAACTTCTTTATCTGTAGGAATAAGTGTATATCTTCATAAGTGCCCTTAAGACGCTCCCCTTTGTAGAACTTTTAATGGGTGCTGGGTAGCAATGAAGTTGAGAGAGCAAGAGCCTGGAGCGCAAATTGTTTATGTTGCTGATTAAAGAAGAGTCCATGTGCTTTAAATTACAAGCATGCAGTCAACATGGTTGAGATTCTACTTCAAAAGTTAATAAGCCTAACATACATATATGTATGAAAGAAATTATCAGCTAAGTAAAGATTCTATTTGAGGAACACTTTAATGCTCTAACTTTGTCCCAATTGACTATTTCAGGACATTATCAGCTAGTCAATCTTTTGGAAAGTTGAAAGAGCAATAAACTTGGAACATGGACACTGTTGCTTTATCTCACTCTCTGCCAATTAGTGAATGCTCATGACTTTAAATAAGTCTTTAATCACTCTGAACCACATTTTTTCATCTATAAAATGAAAAGCATGGAACTAGATGAACTCTAAGATCTCTTGCAGTTCTGACATTCTTTAATGCTATTTTAACATACTGGTGAGGTTCAGGATTGAGTAAATCTCACCCTTTGTTTCAATTTTTGGTTCACAGGTCAGTTTAGGTCAAACCTTGATTCTAAGAGCATTAGCAAATCCCCCAAAGCTGAGCACCTTTTCTGAGTACAATTTATTCTGCAAGCTTGCTGGAGTAACTAATATGCTTAACCTTCAGTAAAAAAAAAAAAAAAAAAAAAAAAAAAAAAAAAAAAAACAGGTAATTTCTCTACAGTTGCAGTTTTAATAAATTTAAAACCAGCTCAAAGTGACAAATTTTTCCTAGGTCCCCCAGCCAATCAGAGCTCATCACTTTCTTCTTCATGTTTTCTCTCTCTAACTTCTGGGCATTGCTGCAATTATCATGTTATATTTATTTGTCTGCATGTGAGCTTACTGAAGAAAAGGACAGAGGCTTATTCAACATAGCAACTGGCACATGAGAAAGAAAGGAAGAAAGAGAGGGGAAAGGAAGGAACGAAGGAAGGAAGGAAAGAAGGGAGAAAGTGATCGGCTGCCTTATATCTGATGTCATAATCCCATTAAGGTAGAAGAAAGCAAATTTAACAGCCAAGTGTTTGGTCTTACGATGTCATAATTCTACCATTTCATCAAGAGCCATTTGTTCTAGGGAAATGGAATGGATCAAACATATAGATGGAATAGGCTTTCTGAAAGTCTTTTTGTCCACTGTGAATTTTACTTATATTGGTCAACTGAAGAGATTTTTAATTTGGGATTTTAAGAAGCCAGCAAAAGTTTAACTGAATCCATTCAGTGCAGGAAAAGTTATGTTTATGTAGTTCACAGTACACTAAACATAAATATATTCAAAAGCTACAAGGATATACAGTGGGATCCTCATCTTAATTTTCAGTACTTCTTCCCTAAGGACAGTTGCAACCCTTGGCCAGTGTGGCTATGAGAATAGTCTGTGTTCTGGCTGGATACTCTTTCGGGTGCCCCTGATCCTTTCCTGGGTATGCCATATTATTCTTGTCCTACT